AGCTGCTAAGGTCTTCGCTCTCAGGAGGCTCCCGCAGGGAGTCCCCCTTTTGACCTTGGGTTGGTCGTGGGGTGGATCTGAGAACCCCGCGCGCACGCGTGTCTCCCTCCTTTCCTGGGCCACCGAACTGGCCCGGTACTCGGCGGCCATCTGGCTGTCGATCTACCCCGCATTCCTCCTGAGGAGGAATGCCATTCAAGCATGCCATAATTCTCCACGGGGCCGTTCACGTGGGGATCTTGTAATTCAACCTGTGACTTGGTTTATAGAGATTGGGGGATACCACTACATGAAGTCCCCATGCTCTTGGCCCGGGTGCGGTCATCTCGGCGAGGTGGGCCGGCCCGGGGCACGCGCGAGCCGAGATCTACCTGGTGGACGACCCCTCCACCCCTCCGATTTTGAGAATGCAGCTCCTAATGAAAGATCTAGTCGAGCCAGCAAGATCCCCCCCGCATCAAGCCCTCCCCCCGCCTCTTTTCCCCTGCCTCTTTCCCTCCGCCTCTTTCTCTCGCACACACACACACATTAGCACGCGCGCACTTGCCTGCCACCCTCCTTGTCTGCTCGGCATGCGTGAGGTTATTACTTTGCAATTTGGCGGCTTCGCCAACCACGTTTCTGCGCACTATTGGAATGGCGTCCTTGCGGACGCGGCCACGCATAAGACCCCGGGATCGCTGCTCCGCCAGCTGGCCAATGGATCTGTGCGTGCAATTGAATGCGCACACCTGCCCCACATCTTGCACACATCCCCTGCAGCTGGCTCGCAATGCAAACGAGCAAGGGCATCGTCGGAGGCGAGCCGCTCTAACATCTACCGGTCTTTCGGACCCAGTATGTCCCTCGTTCGATTGTCGTTGATCGCCGACAGAACTGCCACTTCCTGGCCTCGGCCTCCGAGGGCCTTACCTCGGCAGTGAGCGAGCTGAATGAGCGCGGTCAGCGCGCGGCGAAATTGGCCTCGGCTCCGGCTCCGTCTTTCGCGGACTTTGGCTCGGCTGCCTCCCTCTTCTCCGGCCTTGACCTGGGCTTTTTGACCGGCGGCGCTGGGCTCGTGTCTGCCGCGCCCGAGCGAACCTATCCCGCCTGGGACCATGGTCTGGAAGTGTGTGCCACCGATACCGATGCCGACATCGGCGGCGAGGAGCCCCTGACACACGAGACGGTGGCTGCCGCGCGGAAAGACCCCACGTCCACGCCTGCCTCAATTGTATGTAACCCATGTTTATGCCCGCTTTCCCTTTGTCGTCCCTGCTCCCGATGCCAATCCCCTCCATGTTCCGCTCACACACACACACACACATATATATATATATATGCACACACGCGCGCATACACACATTCCGCAGGCCGACGTCGAGTCCGCTGCCTACGGCTTCTGGCCTCAGTACCTGTCGCAGCCCCTGCATGATAGTACTGCCCGTTTCCTGCTTGGGTCGGCAAATGATGGACTGGTTGATGCCGGCTTCTCCGGTGCACATGCCTGGGATCTGGGCCAGGACGTCTTCCGCGAATTTGTACGCCTCCTCTCGGCCCTTGCTTTCCGCGGCTCGGATCTCCCCATTTGCATGACCTCTAACCAGGGCGCTTGCTCTCCTTCGGGGGGGATGGCGGCGACGATTGTCCCCTCCCAACGAAGCTCCATGAGTCCTTTACGGACGCCCTCCGGCGCGAGGCGGAACTCTGCGACTCGCCGGCCGGCGTTCAGCTTATCTTTGATGTCAACGATGAGGCCCTGAGCTCGGCGGCCTGTGCGGCCATGGAGCAGTCTGTGGCCGATGAACTTGGCCTGCGCGGAATCTTCTCCCTGCCAGTCTGGCAGCAGACCGATGTACTGGTGCGTCACGGTTTCCTGCTCCCTCCTCCTTGGCCACTTGCTCTTCTTCCCTCTCGTCCTCCCCCTTCCTTGCGCTTTCTCTCCTTCTTTCTCCTCAGATTTGCTAACAGAAAAGGAAAAACATTTTCTCCTCCCCCCCCCCTCGTTTCTCCAAAAAAAAAAAGAGCGACGACGCGATTCGGTCTTTCGCCCGCGGGATTTGTGCCAGTGCCGCCTTTGGCGATGGGTACACGATCCCCTTGTGCAGCGGGCCGGCGGCCTCCACGGCCCTCCACTTCCCGGCGGTTCGTTTGCGCTCCCTCTGGCTTCGGGCTTGGCCTTCCTTTGCACCCCCGCCCCCCTCTTCGCCCCCCGATGGACAGCCCCCTGGCCCTATTCCTTGCAATATCTCTAACCCCCTCATGCGCTAATATGTGCACAGAAGAGCCCCTACCATGCGGCCTATCCCTTGGCCTTGGCCCTTGAGCTGCTCAACTCCGTGCACCATCTGGCCGAGGGGGCCAGCCACCGCCCTCCCCTGCCGCCGGTGGATTTGTCCCAGTTTTCCGATGGGCCCGTGCTGGCGGCGCTGCTGGCGCCGGCTGTTCAGCCGGCCACCTGGGCCGACCTCCAGCCGAAGGTGGCGCGAATGGATGCGGCCTCCCGTCGGGGCCGGCGCTTTGTCGTCCATGGCGGCTTCGAGGAATTCCGCGATGATGGGACAGCAACCCCGACGCCGGCCGAGGCGGCCGAGGTGCGGGCCGCCCTGCCTCCGGGGCTGGAGATGATGCTTGCCCGCGGGACGGATGCCCGATTCGAGCGTATCTTCGATGTCCGGGCCCCTGAGCATTCGCCCGGCGGAGCGACCTCGGGCCCGGTCCTTCCGCCATACCGGCCGGCCGATCGGCCGCGCGCGCGGCTCCCCATGTTGACCGCCTTCGCCGGGGCGCCGATCCCTGTGACGGCGCGCGCGCCGCATTGCTTTGCCCCGGGCCCGGCGACCGGGACAGCAGCCCGGTCGCAAGCGGCTCTCCTGCATCTGGTCCAGGATCAACGCTTTGATGGGCGCGATCTGCTTTTGGCCCTGGCCGACCGGGGGCTGGCTCGACGGGCCGGCTTTGCCGGTGAGCGTTCTGATGCTGATGACTGGTGGCTGGAGCAGCTCCATTCGTGGGCATCTCGGTGAATATGTACCAGAATACCATTCCCTGGATCTGTCACTTTTGGCAGCTGCCTGCATACACACCCCTCAATCATGGCCCTTGTCAGCGGCGGCGGCGGCGGCGGCGGTGGTCGCAACCAAGAAGGGATGGCTGGGGGGGG